GCCGGGTTCGGACAGGGTTAAGGCCATCACCTGCAGCTGAAGTGTGACCCAGATGGGAAGTAGGAAGTGCGGCGCCTTAGCTTCCTGTGTAAATAAACGCGCTGCCGCTGCTGCTGGCGAGCTGCGCCCCACGCCCGCGCGGCCAGGTTCCCGGGCACCGCAGCTGCCAGTCAAGGCAAGGAGGCGGGTAGGGACTCCTCCTCCTCCCCACCAATAGGTCTGGGAGCACGAGTCCTGTTGCAGTCCTGCAAAGTGTAAAGCTGTCAGCCGCAGAGCACGGAGGAAGAGGGAGAGAATGAAAGAGCTCCTCTTTCCCGGTGTGCGAGCAGCCCCGGCTGGCCATGCGCGCCAGGGAGGCTACTGAGACGCCCGGCGTCCCCAGGAACACAGATCTCCTGCCAGGTAGGTTTAGCGAGCTTTTTAAAGGCTGCAGGCATTGCAAAACAGGAATGGTGTTGGACTAAGGGAAGAGAAAAGGACGGGAGACTAACTATGACACCGTGATGTGGGGTTTTATTTTCTGCCCCTAGTGCTTAAACCATGCAGAATTGAATTCGTTCCTAATGTCTTAAACACCTGTTAACTTTTAAAAATAGATGCTTTTGTAAAGGTAAACAGAAAGCAGCTTCATTTCTAATGAAAGAATCTCTATGGAATGTATTGTAAAATTCAAGATTAGACCATACATCCCTATTTCTTAAGGGGAGACTAAAAGTTGGCATAATCTCGTATTATGCCAAATAACCTTTTGTTATTTGGAAATGCATAGCGATATGTTGACACACATAGCTATAAATAACATATTAATCGTGGAACCTTGGCCATACGTTAGAGTGACTATTTCATCAGGTAATTGCTGATAAAACAGTTAAACTCTGATTCTATAAGGCTATTCTCAAATTTAAGTTAAAATGAAATTGAAAATTGCTGTTTCAGTAGTGAAAAGGTATCTTTTGATTATCTGTTCAGGAGCACCTTTGGCTTTTCTTACTAGTTTCAGGGATTCTGCTGTAAGTCCACTCTTGATGCGTCTGCTCCTCACCTTCAGATTTCTCAGCAGTTAATTTCCCTCTCTGGGAGAATGTTCTCTATTCAGGTTTCCACTACAGACTGTCACTTTCTTATTGCTTTCTGCCACATGTATTTTATCAAAACATTAGCTCTGAGTCTCCTAATAGGATTATTAGTGTTCTTCTGATTTGGCGTTTCTGGGTGTTTATTAGAACACTGAGAGGTATGAATTAAAGGACAATGTACCTAACATTTCTGAAGCAGCAGATCAGGGGTGTCTATGCCCAGAAGCAAAATAAAAGAATTTTGGGATGACTCAGTTTTTAGGGTGTGGGTAAGAGGCAGAAGGAACCCAGCCAGTCTTAACTGAGTTTCTGGCTAATTAAAGTACTGGCTGCTACAGCTTTCACTGAGATGAACCTCTTGATCTCTGGTCCCTTTCACATCTAATTTCTCTGTGGGTCCCTCCTTCTCCTTATTTTATCCTTCCTTCTTAACCCTGGTCCTTTTCGTAAGGAGCAGTCCCTTCAGTATTTCTAAAACTATCTTGAGGATGAGAAAGGGGGAGAAAAAGAAAACTCTATAGCAGATCCACAAAGCTACTTGGACATAATTGTGTTATGGAATCCAAGGTCATGGTTTCACACAGCTCCTGCTCCTGCCCTTGTACACCTTTGACTGGTGTTTTATTCTTTGTGATGGGCATAAAGTTAGAAAAATGGTAAAGAAAAGAATAACACCTCTGTTTCAAAAGTAGCCTCTGATTAATTGTCTCAAGTGAAAAAATATAAGGCAAACATGTATAGTGAATGAGAAAAAGATGTCAAGTAACAGAATTGGGTTGCTTGGCTTTTTATTTAAGACAAACAACAAAACTCAACCAAAAAAACCCCAAACAAATCACCCTAGATAACTTGTTCCTACACTACTGTGCTGGAAGTAAGGTTTGAGTGTGGTCAAACACTGTCCATTTACCCAGAGTTTTACAAATATTTACAGTCATCTATGCCAAATATCTTTGTGCTGAGCTCCGAAGAACATTCTCAGCATTCAAAAGCCCCATTCTCATGAATGGTTTCAGTTCATTGGCAATTTAAAGG